AAAATGTGTTAAGCATTTGATTTCTGTTAGGGAAGGGAAATATGGAGTATGAAGCCGTTGTCATTTTCGAGTGTAGCATGTGTTAAGCACAGAATGCCGGTAATAGATAGGTCGAACCTAAGAGTGTAAAAATGGCCCGCGGCCCGAAGCTCGCCCGTGACCTGGGGTGGGCTTGGCCCGTTTGGGCTCGGGCTCGAGCCTAGCCCAAGACCCTAGGCCTGGGCGTGGGTCATCATTTTGAAGCCTGACCCGATCTGTGGGCTGGTCCATCGACTCGCTTAAGGCCCACTCAAGGCTCGGCTTGGCCGAGGTCCAGTGTCTTTTTAGTGAAAAATAATAAAATTTTGGTAAAAAAAAGTAGAAATTTGTTCAGGCCAAGCCCAAGCCCGAGCCCAGGCCCACCGGCCTGCCCAAGGCCCGAATACCCCTTGGCCTGGGCCTAATTTTTTGCCTAGTGGCGCGACCTAAATTTTGGTGGGAGCCCATGAGGCTTGACATGGGCCAAGTCGGGCCAAATTTACATCTCTAGTCGAACCTGCCGCAAGCGAATATTGCTCTCATAAAGCTTTAAAAAAGGACTAGGAAGGCTTTTCTCTTAATGCATAGGCCCACCACGATTGAGGTCTTATAGGCCTCTTTAATGTCCTTACAGGACAATTGATTGTATTGTAATCATGTAAATAATGATTACTCCCATATCCTTTATTCGTGTAAAAATGATATGATCAATGAGGCATGCGATTGCATGCCTTACTTCCTTATTTCACTATTAGTAAATTAAGGTAAATCTTGCTAAATACTCTTACGAGGCAAGTGTTTTACACTTACTACTAATTTGGACGGAATGTCTAGCGGTGCACTTTAGTTTACAAACTACAAGAAATTATGTATTTATTTCTAAATAAGATGAGGCAAACAACACATAAAATAGTAAAGTAGAATTTGCCTTTTTTTTTGTACTTAAAAAAAACGTAATAATAATAATGTTAATATAAGAAAATTCGTTCGATGGTCTTTTTTTTTTTAATTTTTAATTTTTAAAAATAGATAGGTTTTTTGGCGTATTGGAAATTTTGAGGCCTTTGAGAATTTTCCCAAAATTTCAGGGCCTTTGCACAATTTTGAGCCCAAAAGCACATGTTTTCAATCCTTATTTGCTGAGCACTAAGGGCTTTCAAGTTCTTTGAGCTGGTGTTCCAAAGCTTGAGAGTAGCATTGGCTCCTATTAGTTCCAGCTCCTTTTTTGCACATTTCTCTTCATGTTCCTTTATTATTTCAGCTCTCTTCTCCGTTTCTTCTGAAAGAATGCACAATCTCTTTTTCAACTCATCATGGGCACTAAAAAAAAAGGTTCTTTCATTCTCACAAGTGTTGAGTTTGTCAAACAGGGAGGCTTTGTCCATGGTAAGGGTTCCCATTTTTGCTTGAATCCCATCGACTTCTTTCTTCAAGGGATCTTTTTTTTTTCTCACATTTTTTTTTTGGGATAACTTTTTCTTCCTCACGTTTCTTCAGATATGAAGTGAGTACAAAATTTTGGTTTGTGAGAAGATTAGGGCATTCCTTGTACATCTTCTCGTACATTTCCTTAAAATCTTCTTCTTCACTATCAAATTACTCATCATTAGAGTTTTTGCTAAAAGATCAGTGCTAGCAACCAATGCCTTTTCATCCAGGGTTTTATGAAATGCCATGAATGAGCTTCCCTCAACTTTCTATTTATCTATCTCGCTTTCATCATCCCAAGTAATAGCGAGCCCTTTCCTCCTGTTTTTCTTAGAGGGACACTCGAGCAATATGACCAAGACCACCACGTTCATAACATTTAACTTCTTGGAATCTAGAATTAGACTTGTCAGATTTTACAAAATTTTGTAGTTTCTCATTCCCTTTTTCTTTAGAAGTTGAATCATTGAGATTTGACGTTTTCTTTTTCAATTTTTTTTTTTTTTTTTTGTATTGTTTTGTGAACAATGCCAATATCTCGGATTCAAATACATCATCGACATCAGATTTATTTACATCCTCATGAGAACTTTTGAAAGCTAAAGCATCTTTATGTTTTTTCTTTGAGAGAAGATTTGTCTGGTTAAGATATTATTGGGAATGTTGTTGCTAAAGAAGAGTTTAAGTTGTTTTTGGTTAAGATATTACCTATGCTTCATTGGCTCAATGGTGTAGAATTGCATTATTCTACATTCCTTATCCTGTTTCTCATACGGTTAAGTTGTAGCTTGTTTTCATATAATTTACCAAAGAGCAGTTGCTGTTTTATAAGATAGTGAACAATTTCTTATATACACTTTTAACCCCAACTATTTTGCCATATGGTCTTTTGGTAATTTTATAAACTTATCAATTGATCTCTATTTTCCCTATTTAATTATTCATGGTTTCATATTAAATCAATGAAATATTTAGCTGAAATTTTTATCCAATGAGATTAATAGAAAAATACCGAGGAAAAAGAAGAAGAATATGCTTATAGTTTTTATGGATTTAGAGAAAAAAAAAATTTAAGATGGGGTGTGCTTAGAGATATAATATTGGTGGGTGTTAGAGAAAAAAATATTGACAAAGAGGTTATATTAATGCGATGAAGGGCATGTATAATGGAATTGTGACTACAATTAATTCACTTGCAAGAGAAACAAATGAATTTCTAATTACTTGAAGATTGCACCAAGAGTTAGCCTCAAGTCTGTACCTATTTGCCTTAATTATAGATGAATTGATTAGACACATTTTAGATGTTGTTTTATTATTTATGCTATTTAGATGAATTGATAAGACACATTTTAGATGATGTCTTATGATTTATGCTATTTACAGATGGCATTATCATGGTGGATGAAATTAAAAGAGGAATTAACACTAAATTAGAAATTTAGATAGAATAGAAGCACTTGAGTCGTTAAAAAACATTTTAAAATAAGTAATACTGAAATTGTAAACATTATTCTTAAAGTGATATTTTAAAAAACATTCATACTCACCAAATTTATTCCTAAAGTGATTTGTGTTTTCTTTCCTTCAAATTCCTTGGACACACATTCAAACATAAGCCAAGATAGACACTAAAAAGCATTCCTAGGAGGGCACAAAGCCACACGACCCTGCTCATCCTCATAACCTTACTCTTTAGTATTAAACTCTCCCATTTTGTTATCTTTTAGGCTCTCTTTTTGGAGTAACTAGTTCAACCTTGTTGGATCAACTTGTAATTTTTTTCATATACAACAAGGTATATTTATAGGTGTCTTATTGAGTGAACCTTAGAATTCTTACTCAACACTCACAATTTCTTAAGGTTAGGTATTTGCCCTGCTTTTCAATGGTATTAGTCAATAAACAATGGGGCAAATTACGACGGTAGTTCTTGTATTTTGGTCATTGTGAAATTTTAGTCATTGTAATTTTAATTGACTCGATTTTGATCCTAAATTTATGACTTTGTCTCAATTTGGTTCAATTTATTCCAAATCTTAGCCTTTTTTTTTTATTATAGAAAATATGCACATAAGTGTTATGTGTTATATTTTTATGGGTAAAATTATAAACTTACTTAACTCAGTGAGTTAACCTCAACTAATTTAGTGATAATTTTCTTTTAAAAATACTAACAATATTATCAATTGGACCAAATACTCACAAAATTTAAAATGAATAGTCAAAATTGAGCTAATTGTAAGTGTAAGGACCAAAATGACACAAGAGATAAAATATAGGGATTATTGGTGTAATTTGCCCTAAACAATAAGCCAACTAACCAAAAACGAATAAATTAAGTCTATGTAGGCCTATTGTAAAATAATTTAAGCTTATTTCAACTTATTTGAGGCCAAATGCCATCTTCGGCCCTTAAATTTTCACACACACACAAAATCTTTGGCAAGGATTAATCATTAACAAATTAAATAAAAAGTAGTGCAAGTTGAGAAACATACTTGTATATTACTGATGTTACATACTTCTCCTAAATCATTAAAAGCTTTAACACAAGTAAAGATTACTACAATGTGAAGAAAAACATGAATATTTGAACTTATATGTGAATTTGACTGTTGCGCAATAGCTCTCTGTTTTGATAAGGTTTTTCTTTGTGATACCATTACTATATGTATATCATTGTTGGAGCATTTTGCTCAATTCTCAAAATTAAAACTAGAATCTATGGCCTCAATTGGCAAAAATCATAGAATACACCAATAAAAGGAGAATACATATATATGCAAAACACAGTCTATAACATATTCTGGACAATACGATAGTTCACAAATCATTTATTTAAGGAAAGACTTACTTTAGAATATTTTACAAAAGGCACAAAATCATCAAACCCCGTCAACCTATATACTAGAACTACAGAATTATTCAAACTTATTTCTTTCCAACAACTCAAGAAAATCCATAACATGATCTCAATGCTGCTTTCCTCTGAGGGTCCTTTCTCCAGCTGAACTGAATATAAGACCTTTTAATGACAGTAAAGCATATAACAAGTATATTAGTGGATGTTAACATGGTTTCTCTGAAATAATGCAACAAATGACTTTTGAAAAATTATTTGAGAAATGTATTTGCACTATTTGAACTAGAAAATAACAAATCTGCATTTGTTTCAATGTTTTTAAGCATGTGACAAAGAATTTTGGCGCTTTTGGTAAAGAAATTAGGTGGAAATTAATCTGTATACTTTACTATATGATCTTGAATGTAACATATGGTTTGATGATAATCTTGACATATCACTACCTCCACTTCAAAATATGAATGGTTATTCTTCAAGTCGTGATGATATTCCAAAATCATTAGCATTGTTATGTTAATGATGGTAAGGAAATAAAAAAAATTCAAAAGATTCATGCAAGAAAAATCATGGGGTATGAAGATGGAAATTTGATGCACACGTTGAAATTATCACAAGACACAGAGGTAATGTATGTACATGATATGAAAGAGAGAGAGAGAGAGAGAGACGAACCAATTGGGAGAGAAATTCATCTTCCAAATTTTCCTTTGTTGAACTTCCTCCTTAGCTTAGCGAACTTGATTGCTATGGTTACTGATATCCAATTGTAGCTGTTTTCGATGAACTGGAAGTATGCATACCTCCAAGACTTCTTGAAATTCAAAGTGCCACAGACCCCCAAGAACCCAAACAAGAAACCAGGTCCAATACCAGTGTAGAACCACAAAAAATCAGTTTTATCTGCAACTTCACTCTCATCAACATGTTTGTGATCACCATCAGATGATTTATCATTGAGGCAGCTGTTTAGTGGTGCACCACAAAGGCCATCATCGTTGCCTATGTAAATGGAAGGATCGTCAAGAGTTCGAAGTTGATTTCCCGTTGGTATTCTCCCTGATAAATTATTGAATGACATGTTCAAATGACCTAGGTAGCTTAAACTAGACAGACTTGGAGGAATGGGGCCAGAAAGTTTGTTTTGAGACAAATCAAGAGATTCCAATTGTGTCAAATTGCCAATATTATTGGGGATCCTTCCTTTTAGATGATTTCCAGATAAATTCAAGTTGAGCAACCCAGAAAGATCCATTAACTCTTCTGGAATCTCTCCAACAATGCCATTGTTCGAAAGGTCCATGGAGATGAGAAATTGGAGTGTCTTGGTGTATTCCAGTTCTCTTCCTTTCATTGAATCCAAAATGTTCTCTTCATAATAATAATCTGGTTCTGTTCCAGTTGGATACCCATGATCTAATGCAACCATGCCAGTGAAGTTGCCAAAACAACGAGGGATATTTCCCGTTATGTTATTTTGTGCCAAGTTCAACAATTGCAAATTTTGGAGGTGACAGAGTTGCCGAGGAATATCACCATAGAAATTATTTGATTGAAGATTGAGAAATTTAAGATTGATTAGGTTATATCCAATCCATGGAGGGATATTATCAGTGAACACATTTTCACCTAGATCAATGATGAAAAGAAATGTCAAATTCTGTAAGGACAAAGGAAGCTTCCCATGAAACTTATTGTTACGCAAGTGCAAGGAAGTGAGAAATTGTAGGGAACCCAATGAACTTGGAATTTCACCATATAGACTATTATTCGTCAAATCTAGCACCGACAATTGATCCAACTGCCCCAAGCAAGGAGGAATTTTTCCTGATAACTGATTGTTTGAGAAATCAATAACAGTTATACTCTTTGCCTTGCACAAAGACATTGGAATGACACCAGTCAAATGGTTATTTGAGAGAACAAGAAACATCAACCTCATCGTTGCATTATCATCACTCATAGTAATAGGTCCTGAAAGCAAGTTGTTGAAGAGATCTAAGGAATAAACATGTGAAGAAAGCGGTGCTAGTGGGCCCTCAAATCTGTTAGAACTCAATAGTAACCATTTATCAGGAGCACTATATCTATATTTACATTTTTGAAATATTGGCACCTTTCCTTTGATCTCGTTGTTGGAAAGATCCAAGTACATAATGCCACAATAAATACTCTCAAACCAATCAGGAATGACATCTGAGATGCTTGCATTAGACATGTCTAATTGTGTAACATTTTTTTGTGTTTTGAGCCATTGAGGAAATTGGGGTCCTACTTTGATGGATGACAATTGTATGACTTGGAGTTGAAAGGGAGGAACCCATTGGGAGGTCACATTCAAAACTAATGAATTTGAATGCAAGTACAATTCATTTAAACTCTTGAGTTTGGCAAAGTGAAGTTCAAATACGGTGCTAACAAATGCATTGTTTGACAAATCTAGATATTCTAGTTTTGAAAGTTGTCCAAGACTAATTGGAATGCTCCCATTCAATTGATTATCTCCAGTACCTAACACTCTCAAATATGATAGTGTTCCGAGTGATGATGGCAGTGGACCACAAAATGAATTGCTTCCAATACTAAGCCTCTCTAGATTCTTAAACTCTCCCAAATAGTTTGAAAGCTTTCCAGTGAATGTGTTATTGGACAAATCCAATACACGCAAGTTGCAGAGGCTCCTCATGGAGTTTGGTATTTCACCTTCAAACACATTCAAAGAGAGGTCAAGCTCTGTAAGTTGTGTCATATTTCCCATCTCACTCGGAATTGGACCTTGAAGATAATTTGCACTCAACCTGAGGATGGAAAGAGAAGCAAGATTCCCAAGGCAATGGGGGATTGCACCTCTATGGCTTGTAATACTAAGATCTATATGGACAAGACTGCTCAGGTTACACAAAGAATACAACATTGAATCATTGAAGTCGTTAATTGAAAGGTCAAGGACTGTGAGAGAGGTCAACCTTCCAAGTGTATCACGAATTGGACCACGTAAATAATTATTGCTAAGGTTGAGATATTGCAACCTTGAAAGATTTCCCAGATGATGAGGAATCGTTTCATTGAAAATTGACCAAGAGAGGTCAAGGTATCTCAAGCTTTTCAAAGATCCTAAGGAATTAGAAATTTGCATATCGTTCATGCTCAAGTCTAGGTAATACAAATGATTTAAATCGAGTAAGGAAGGACTTATCTGACCACCCAATTGGTTCATTTCGAAATTTGGATAAATTGGATCTGGAATTGGATTATGCAGATCAAGCTTCACAACATGGCCTGTTTTCTTGCTGCAACCAACTCCCTTCCACATGCAACAGTCCTTTCCAACCCACGAGGATAAACGGTTTGCATAATCTGTGAGATTTCCTTTGAATTTCATAAGAGCTTCTCGCTCACTCGCTATGCAACTCACATTTGAATTTGTATTACTACAAATTAACTCAAGTCTTTCAATGAAAAAAAGAGCAAATAACATCACAAGAGCACTAGAGGTTGTGCCCATAGCTTCTGAGTGTGGAATGTAATTTGAAGATAGTGTTAAAAGATTAGAGTTTTATAAACTAACTTGGGTTTTGGAAAGTCTCAAGTCATGAGCACCTAGTTATAATTAGAATACATTTATGTCCAAGTCAAGTCATAAGTGGACGACCTAGTTATAATTAGTATACATTTATGTTCAAGTCAAGTCATAAGTAGATGTCCATTCTGTCTTCTTGGGTAGAAACTCTTGTCTCTAGTCTTTGGTGTGTCAGATTCATATTGGACAATGAGCAATGATAGAATTATCAAATAATTTATCAAAAAAATTATCAAATACTCACATAAGGTGTGAGATAATGGCACCAAAAAAATACATTTATGTCAGTTACATATTGTACAAGTCTTTTTTGCAAGTAAATTTAATGGTGTTAGAATTACACATAAATCTAAAAATTAATAAAATATTAATGTAAGGTATATAAATTTAAAAATTAATAAAATATTTAAATAATAAATACATTTATATGGCCGGCCATTCCGTCTTCTTCAAAGTCTTCTCTAATTATTGTAAAAAAAAACTTTCTCTATAGCTTTCTAGTGATTCATAATTTACATGTTAGTATTGTTTTCCATCGTTTATAATTAATCATTAGCAGTTAGACCCGTGCATCCCACGGCTCTTTTTTTTTATTTCTTTTTTATTTTTTATTTTTATCAAAATAATATTTTATAAAATTATGTATGTGTCTTATATAAATAATTTTTAATAATAGGGTAAATTACATTGACCTCTCTTGAGATTTGACAAAATTGCAAAAACATTCCTTGAGGTTTTTGAAATGATTGAAACATTTTTGGATAAATTACAAATATACCTTTTGAGATTTAATTAAAATATGAATTGTCGCTTGTGATTCTAGAAATTACATTCCACCCCATGAGGTATCTAATTTTATAATAAATTGCTCATTTTATTAATAAATCATCAAGTAAATTAACAGTTTTTAATGATGTTAGAAATACGTTTCAATTAATAATTTATGTAATCTTGTTATTGTAGAGGAGAACAATTATGAATTTCATCTTTTAGTTAATTATGTTAAATAAAAAATTCTAACAAGGAAGTATTTGTAATTTTTCAAACCACAAGAAATAATCTGTACTTTAGACAAATCACACAAGGTGTATTTGTAATTTACCCAACCTTTTTTTTAAGGTTAAGTTTCAATTCCATTGACTTCTCCTAAGGTTTAATGAAATCGCAAAAATCTTTCCTAAAGTTTCTAAAGTGACATAAACCTTCTTTGAGGTTTAGCTTTTTATTATAGGTTATTTTTTCTAGTACTTTATCATAAAAAAAATTGATATTATTAAATAATTTAATTATATTTTTTAATTTATTCTTAAAATTGTGTCCGATTACAAATAAATAAAATTTTATTTTATTTTTCTTTATTTATTATTATTGCAATTAATGTTGATTGTGTGTGCATCCTTTAAAAAAAAAAGAAGCAAAAAAACTCCTTATCATCGAAAAAAAAAAATTTTTGTTGACATCATTAAATAATTTAATTACATTTCTAATTTTACCCTTTAAAATTGTGTTCAATTACATAAACAAAATACAATTAATATTTTCTCTTAGTTATGCTTGCAGTTATTGTTGATAATTATGTCTCCTGTGACACTGTAGACATTCTCATTTTTTACCGACCTCAAGACTTAGATGTTGCCGTTTGTGTACCTGATGATTATGCTGGTTTGTGCTTGTTTTGAGCGCCCGAAGTTCTCGGCGGAACGCCTTGTCTTTGAGCCTCTAAACCCTTTTTGTTTTGTGCTTGTTTTTAGGCCAAACCTTGGTGCCTCTTGCTTGGAAGGGGGAGGGGCCATGTCGGCCACTTTTTGGCTTTGTCGGCCACTTTTTGTTCCTGTCGACCAGTTGAAGTGGCCAGTTGGCTACCTAAAGTGACTGACGGCCATTTGTTCCCTTTTTTTCAGATATTTGTTTGCCAGTTATGCCAGCTGTTGTTCACTGAAGGCTACCTCCATACACGTGTATGGAGGGATGAATAAAGGCCTTAGCTTGATTTTCTATATATAGGGGGTTCTCTTCCCCATCTGAAGAGGTTGGATAATTTGGGCAAATTTCTCCCTCTCTCTAGAATTCTATCTCTTTCCTCTTGTTTTATTCTTGATAGTTGATTTTCTCTACACCTTGGCACACTAGCCCTTAACCAAATTAGACCACCTTAGAGCTGAGGTCCCTTAGAAGCTATTTTGGGTTGTTGAAAGGTTGTTTGAGCCTAAAAGAGTGCCTGTTTTGTGCTGAGCTTCAAGAGGTATACTACTTATCTTGTAAGCTTTATTTCAATCACTTGCTTGGCCATCTTTTTATACTGTTTTGGGCCTAGTTTTCAACTACAAAAAGCTTTGATTTTTGGGCCTTAACATGTTGGTTTGAAGCCATTTTATGCTAAGGGGTTGTCTACCATTCTTGTTGCTTATTTGTGTGAGCCTTTGCACCATCTTTGAGCATATTAAAATCAAACTTTTTGGGCCTTTAAACAAATGAAATTCAGAGTTATTTCAGTGGTAAAAAGCATGTTTTGAAGTCCAAAAATGGAGGGGTTAGCCTTCCCTCCTTGTGTCTCACTTCCATGCCTAGTTAGCATCATATGGTAGCATGTTTTTGTGGCTTAACTTAGCTTATTTCCAGCATGTGTTTGCCTCTGATTTTGCATGATTTAACTCTGTTTTGGCTTGCTTTGGTCATGTGAGCCTTGTTTTGTATAGTTATAGTGCAAATGACTTCACGAGCTTGGCATTTTAGGCCTCTAAACATGTTTTGCTTGGAATGATTGCATACTGTAATGTCTTTTAACATGTAATTTCAATGTACATAGCTCTGTCACATGCTCATTTGTTTCACTCTCTCATTGTTTTTGAGAGTTGTGTCTTGAGTCTCGTTTGCAAGCTAACATGTGAGCATGTTGTTCTAGCATTTTGTACCTCAATCTTGGCATGATTTAGTCACTGCTTTGACTGATTTTAACTCTGTTTTGAGTTGGTTTAGTCCTTTGAGGCTTGTATTGTATGGTTGTAGTGCAATCTCTTTCACTAGCTTAGTGAGTCAGACTTTTTAGCATGTATTGCATGAGTTGCTTGCACGTTTTAGTGTCTTTTTACACTCCATCTCAGCACTGAAATCTCTGCAATCTTCCTCCATTCTTTACTCTTTCATTTGTTTTGAAAGTGACTTCGAACCCCTTGTTGGCTTGAGTGTGGAATTGAGACCCTCATGCCTAATGGTTTAATTCCTTCGGGAGTTCATTACCAACAGCATGAGGCCTCTTTCATGTTCAAGACACTTGTGGTTCAAGCCCTCTTTCCAGTAGAGGACAATCACCTTGGACTTAATCGATTAAAGAACTAATCGGTAATGTAAAATATGTAAACAAAATGAACAAAGTAAAAGAAATAAGATTAAGCATCTTTGTGTTGCATTGCATGTGTTTGGATTGGACGTTAATCTGAACACAAGAAAAATGGGACGTTTTATACTCAAAGTGATGAAACATGCCACTTTTCTTAGTCACCGTCACCCTTGATCATGCATGATAGGGTGGTGGTTGTTTTGGTCTTGTTTGTGCATTCATTAACCTTGTACAAGCTTGGTTCCCTAGCCATCATGCATTGAAAATGCTTGGTTGATGGCTTGAGAGCCAAGAGCTACACTCCTTTGAGCTTGAGAGATGATAAGGAGGGTAGCAGTACATACATTTCATGAAAATGCATTGCTTTGCCTCTATTTTCTCTCTGTTACAGCAAAAGGAGAAGTCCAGAAAATGGGGTGGCCGATCGGCCGTTTGAAGTAGCTGACCGGCAATTTGATGTAGCCGACCGGCCAGTTAAGGTGGTCGATAACCACTTTTTGTAGCCGACCGGTCACCAGTGAATTTTTGCAAAAATGTGTTCCTGTGTTGGAGTAGTGGCAATCTGGAAGTTGGTATGGTTTTCAGAAATCAAACGAGTGCAAACAGAGGCATCCGATGGCAAGGCAAGGGCATTTTTGGGCGGAGCAACAAAGCATGCATGCGTCCCTTGCCTTCGAGGCCATTTACTTGCTTTGTTTAAATTGCTTTAGTTAGTTAGCGTAGCTAATTATTCGATTCAAGTGTTGTACTTAATTAGCTTAGCGTAGGTAGTTATTCAATTCGGTTTGTAATATTTAGCTAGAACGGTTAATTAGTTTTGGTTTGTATTAGCTTGGCTTAGCATAGCTAGTTAGCTTATTCATTCGGACCCTCCTTCGCAAGGGCGCAATGTTGTAATAAGTGTGCGTTTGTGTGTACATGTCTTTCAACCCCATGTCTTTCTCCCTTTTATTTAATCGCTTTCGATGGTTAGATCAGGGATCATTTTCAATTAGCATACCTTTTGCTCGCATGTTTGCATCATTCATTTGTGTTGCATGCACCGAGGCTCGGTGCGTTATTCAAACCGCATTGTCAATTCAATACTTCTTTGAATACGTGTTTATCGCATGTTGTTCAAATTGATTTATATGCCATATTAGTAGCCGAGCCTATTAATTACATTATTGCATGTGTTGCATTAGTCATTTAACATAGTTAGGAATCATGCATTTTTCTGACTAGCTTTTGTTTTGGCTCGGAGTACTCGGTAAGCTTTTATGCTTTAGCATACTTGCACGAGTGTGATTGCCATATTGCCATGATAGCATGATTGCCATGAGGCTATTTGCTTATATGCTAAACTGCATGAATGTCTGTGGATGAAGGCTTTGTTGCTTGAATTAGAATATTTCAACGAATGTGAGTTTTAAGCCCACTTTGCGAAGTGGCAAATCATATTTTAAGCCCATTATGTTTGGTGGCAAATCCGCGTTTTAGCCCACTTGAGGGTGGCAAATTCAAACCATTTTCGAAAACAAACATGAGTTGAATTTGTTCCAATTCTTGCGATTTTAGTCTATACTTGCTTGTGCATGTCACAAAGTAA